ATAGGGTTTCTTGATAGATGCCACATGGAGATATGATTCCGAACTATTCAAACCCTACAGTATTTGCCAGTGGCAGTGCCTGGCAAAATCCTGCAGGTCATCAGCGAGTTGGACGGGATCTGAAGGGCTTTATGACCAAGTGCAAGAAACTCGAGTGGCAAAATGTGTTGCAGTTTGATTCTGCGCTTCCATCTTGGGCCATGTCTCTTGCACCCTAAGCTGGCAGAATGCCGGGGGCCTGGGCACGGGAACAGCTTGAATCCGGACCTCTTTTTGCCAAGTCAAGGTATGCGGACCGGCAAGCCACGTGCTTAACGTTGTTTCATCAGATGGCTTGCATTTTGTGGAATAGACCCCTTCTTTAAGCCTCTGCCCCCCAAAGCCAGAACCTCTGTAAACTCTCAACCCCGGGCTCTGCAACCTCAGCATTCCCCCCGAAAGTCCTTACAGTGGCCTCAAAGCCGAACAATAGCCTCAGAGCCCCCATGTGTCTCGGCTGATGTTGCATGCAGCGGTTCCATGGCCGAAGGCGGGCAGTGTTGTCGCGGGTTCCAGGGTGTGAGGCTTTAGTGTTATTAAGCCGCCGGCGTCCTTAGTTGCTACGCACTATGGTTGGTTCTCTAAATTCGGGTCCCTTTTGGATCGCAACAAAATAGTATGGCACCCTTAGCAAAAGGAACCCCGAAAAGGGACCGTAATTTCCAGAGCTACCCATATAACACCAGTAGACGTCACCCAGCTTTGTTACCTAGGTCCGTAATTCGGCCTTCCGAAAGGTTCAATTAATGCTGCTGTGTTGTTTCAGCTCCAAGATGTCCCGAGCCAACCCTAAACCCTAAACCCTGAACCCTAAATATCCCGAAACCCACCCTAAACCCACTGTCGAACTCCGCAGGCTGTGAGAGCTGAAAACTGGGAGATCGCAGAGCAGGCTTTGCCTCAGGCGCCAGCACTGGGGGTTTAGTTCTTAGGGTAACCATGCAGCATGCCTCCAGCCCCCAGGTACAGAGAACACCCTAAACCAAACCCTAAACCTTAAACCCTAAACCCTAAGCGCTAAACCCTAAACCCTAAGCCCTAAACACCCTAAACACCCTAAACACCCTAAACCCTAAACTTTGCCCTAAACCCTAAAGCTTAAACCTCAAGCCCTGAAGCCTAAACGCGAAAATCCCCCGGTGCCTCCGAGCCTGCGAGGCCGGTCTGCTTGAATCGAGCCCCCTGTGCTCGGCATCCGCCTTGGCGCGTGGGGGAGGGGGGGGGGGGTTTAGGGGTTTAGGGTTTAAGGTCTAGGGTTAGGCTTTAGGGTTTACGGTTTAGGGTTTTGAGCTTTGGGTTTAAGGTTTAGGGTGTAGGGCTTAGGGTTTAAGGTCTAGGGTTCATTGCAGAAGCCTTAAACCCTAAACTTTCTGCGATTGGAGATAGAGCCGCTGCACTTCACCAAGCAGCCTGAACCCTGTTTCCTCTGTGGCTTCGAGCTGCAGGTCATCTGTCTACATGACAGGACAGTAAGACCTTGCAGCGGAATTCGTTTGCTGGGCCCGTGCTCAGGTTGAAAAGTACAGAAAGCAGGCACGGAGCTCGATGACGTGAGTTTCAGGCAGTTTAGCTCGTTCATATCCGGAGTTCTTGCAGTCTTCTGCAGATCTGGCATGCAGCTTTACGAGTTTAGGTTTAGGTTTGGGGATACCCCAAATCCTAGACAGTCCTCAACCCTGAAGTCGGAATCCGATCTGGGGTCTGCTGCTCAGGTGAACGACGAGAGCTTGGATGCCGACACCAGGCATCTTGCCACGCTGCTGGCTCGGGCGCCTGGATTTCTAGCCTTTGGGCCCAGCCTTCGACGGTTTGGCTCAAGGTGGCATGGTTGGCAAACTTGTGGGCCCAAGCAGGTCTTAAAGGCCAAGTCGAGCCAACTCTAAATATAGGGGTCGGAAGCCATGCTACAATGTGCCCCGAAATCCTATAATTCTTATTGTTAAGGCCCCTATATATTACTTCGACTAGCCGCAAAGCGCTGCGATTGCCAAAGGCTTTCAAAGAGGCAGAGGCTCGAAATGAGGGGCCTGGATAATCAGAATACGGTTTCGGGTATATCATACCATAATCATATCAAGGAACCAAGGAATAGTCATGGTAGGAAATGCTCCTTTTTCGGAACCCAAACAACCCGTCGTCGGTCACTAAATGCTTGGAGTACGTGATGTTTTGTCATGGTTATACTTTGGGGTTCATGCCGCCAGCGAAGCCGAAAGTCAGAGCTGGAGCCGAAGTAGGGTTTAGGGTTTAGGGTAATTCTGCGAAGTATCGTATGTTGTGGAGACGAGCTGCTTGAAGCTTTGACGGTGACTTACTGTAACCGACTTAACCTCTCGGCTTCAGCACGGAAGGCCGATGTGACGCCGAGGTGGCTGCAGAAAAGAGCCTGGAATGCCAGCAGCTGGAGGTCGACGAGGGGACCTCGCCTGCAAATCCCAAGTTTAGGGTTTAGGCTTACGGCTTTACCTAAAACAACCCAAATCTGATCTCCTTGGAGGTGGGAGGGGCTGAGACTTCGGAGTTTAAGTGCTGGTTTTCCCGGTCATCGAGTTTTCCTCCTTATCCGGGAACAGCACTCCCATTCGCAGAGATTGAGGAGGCCACGGGTCTGTCGGCAGTGCTGTCTCATGCAGCGGCAGTGCCTAAGGCGGCCTCGGCTTGTTCAGGGTTGTTGAGAGTGAGCTCCCTGAGTAGTGGTCTACAAGCGTTCAGAGCAACTGTCGGATGAGCCGTGGCTGCCTTCTGCGCGTAGGTAAGTTTCGGGTTATTCAAACGTTGCACTACGTATCCTCGCCGCGAGACACATTGTTCGGAAGCTTGGCACGCAATCCACCACCCTTAGCTCTAAACGCGAGAAATCTATAAACTCTAAGCCCTAAGCCCAAACCCGAACAGCACTGCTTGAGGAGGCGCGCCGCTTCAGCAGGTCGGTGTTCTCACAGAAGGTGCTTCTCTAGCTGCTGGAGGGCAGCTTCCATATGATTCGTTGAATTGCTGAATTAAGGAAGGTACAGGTTGGGGCGATGCCTCTCATGTTGGGTGCAAGCCCCAAGTCCGTACGGTTGAGGGCTTTTGAGGCGTTGAGATTGGATCGAGCTTTGCTTGCAACGGGTTATAGGTTTCGAGGGTATGAATCTAAAGCTGCGTTTAAGGCTGTATGGTCCTGGTGCACAATACTTTTCTAAAGTAGAGTGAGAGAGGTCGAGAGAGAGAGCACAGGCTCGCTTCCATGTAAAGAAGCACGCCTCACAGGAACCTGATTATCGATACACTCTGGTATATTAGAGTAGATGCCAGTAAAAATTTGTTTCTCCCCCAAGCCCCGACATCCCCACCCCTCCGAAGACCCTGGCAGCTGGGAGGTGGCCCCTGAAGACTTGGAGCGAATGCGCAGCCGCCAGGCCCGCCAGGCTCGCTTCTTTTGTGGGAGCGGGAGCGGATCGAGTTTTGGGGTTTTGCAAGGATGTGTGAGTGAGTGTCTGTGTGTCGTGGATGCCAGCAAGAAACTAAACAAGCAGTTTTCATGTTGTTTTGCCCAGGCATCAGCGCTGTAGCTACCGAAGATCCTGAGCTGGCTTCTGAGAAAGGGGGCCCTCTCCACCTAGACCCAGCCTCCGAGTCGCCGAGTCATCGCTAAAGATCTGAGGTTTGCAGGTGGTGCCGCCGCGATCTGCCCGTGCTTTCACAGGGTGTGCATCGTCACTTCCGAAGCAAACGCAGTTTCGGGTTGGAGGCGTGAGGCTGCAAGCCTGTGATTGTCTTGAGGAGACGGTGTCTCGGGCCTCTGAGCCCCTTCCTCAACGATGTCATGTGAGTCATCTCTATAATCAGCTTCGGCACCCCTTAGCTGCAGGGCTTCGTCGGGCTCAGCGGGGCATCGGAGAGCTCTGAAGCACAGCCCTCCGTCGGAGGTTTGGCGGTGCTTCCGAGGCTCCAGAAGGGTGCTGGCCTCGGAGCTTCGGGGCCAGGAGGGCTTCCTTTTCTTTTGGGTGGAGGCTTCCCCCTGTTTCTTCTTCCGGAGAGGTGCCCTCGATTGATGAGCGGTCCAGCTGGCAGCAGCTACCAGCGGCTCGAAGATCTCCAAGTCCTGCAAACCTCCGTTTCGGGTTTCAGGATCCTCGGAGGATTCGGAGGAAACGCAGATCCAAGAATCCTCTCAGCCGCTCCCGCCTCCATGTTCGTGGCTGTCTCTGTCACTTCCTGGCTCCCCTCTGCTTGAAACAGATGCGGAGGCTCGCGGAGGCTTCTTCTCCCCTTGCGCCGACAACAGCCAGCTCTAATTCCCTCCCTCACCGGGAGAAGGCTCCTGCGGAAGCAACTCCCACACCTTTTCTGGCGGCACATATGCCAGGCCGATCGTCCGGAGAGGAGCTTTGACGATTATTCGTGAAGGGCCCGTACTAGCCAGCTGCCTGCTGTATCACAAAGAGCTGACAGACTAAGACTTCAACATCAACGTAACCGCATGCCCGACGAACCATTCCATGAACCAAAATTCGTCACCATCTCCAAAAAGTGATGCATGACCTATGGCGCATAGGATCAACTGGGGGCCGTGGCAGCCTCCGAGCTGTCGAAGCCGCCCCCTACGGCACGGACCTGAGGCGCTCGTGTGCTCCCGCCGGGCCAGGAGTTCGACGAAATGAGTTTGGGCCTCCCCTGCTCGCCATCCTTACCTTTGCTGCCTGAGCTGCCTCGGCTCGAACAGCGATCATAGAGAGCAAGACCGGAGCCATGACTGCCTATCAAGCGTTGCCTTCGGAGCACCAGAGTCAGAGGCCCCCGGGTTTGTTGCTTGTGCTCGGCTTTCGAGTCGCGAGTAGATAGAGTTCCTGCCTCGAAGCTCCAGGCATCAACGGAGCCTCACAGCCACGGTGATCTGCCCGGAGCAGCTTCAAGTCGAAGACGACGGCGACGGCCGAGTCAGAGTCAAGCTTGATGATGCGTTGAAGGGGAGCTTTATGCGGCTCCTACGCCTGGAGCTGCATCTCGGCCCAGTACCCCGGCTTGTGCAGTTGGCAGAACTGGAAGGTGCCGGCCTCGAGGAGGGCACGCTGCCCATCCAACGTGTCACGCTGCCCTTGCCGGATGACGCGCGGGTGCTTGGCTTCAGGTATTGGGAAGTCGGCGGCTCAGGACCTCTCAGCACCCAGACTCCCGGGAGGATCTATAGAAACGAGAACCACATATTTGCGACCCTATACCACTAGAATTCTTTCTAGGAGCGCGCCATTAACGGATCTACTTCCTAGATCCTCTCAGGGGTCTGGGTAGAGATCCATTTGCAGGTTCTTGCATAGCAAAGGACGGCGCTGAAGCCGCGGCCTGTCGTGCTGAGGCGACAGATCCAACCACGGGCTTCGCGGATCTTCGAGATATCCACATCCTTCTGGATGTCCAGGGCAAGCTCCAACTGGAGCCCCTTTCGCGCCGATACCTTCGCTCCAACTCGATCGAGTTTCCGGGCCACCTGCACTGGATGCCTCCTGCCCTGGAACGCCTCGAGAAAGAGCCCGAGAACGTTGATATCCCCATGCTGCCTGAGGCACGAACCAGTCCGCTAAGCACACCTGTAGCTTGCAGTTGCAGCTTTCTGCCGGTCCCGGCAGGTCATCGGGCTGCGGACCATCCAGAGAAGCGTAGACCACATCGTGGACTGCGAGTACGCCCACACCTGGACCTGCACCCTCGACGCCGTGAGAAGCCTGACGGGGCAGTCTGCGATGTTCTGGGCCGATCTTTTCCTGCTGACTTTCGTGCCCTCCTCAGCCTGAGTGTTCCGTTCTTCTAGAGTGGAATGGAGATATGGTTTCTGTATTTTGGAGAAGAAAGAGAGCAAGTGAGTCAGAAACTGGTACTTGCCAAGCCCACATTCCATCTAGAACACATGTGTCGAGCACGTTGCCGTGAGAAGTTTCGATGGCGAATGGCCAGAGGTGCTGTACTACATTGACATCGCGCTGGACCTGAAACAGCTGCGTTTGTTCTGGCAAAACAAACTCTTTGGCTACTTCTTCCTCAACGTCGCCGGCATGGCGCTACCTCCCGTCTTCACGACGTTGGAGGCGGTGCATTT